AAGAGGAAACAGCCACAACTTTTTGGGCAACCAGGAAAACTGTTCGATTTTGTACCACGTTGGGAGTAGTGGTCACATTGAGAAATTCAAGAGCACGTGCAATCAAAGATCTCATATCATTTCAAGAAGACAATCTTACAATCAAAACTAGGATAATAACATGCTTCCGTCGCTTTAATTAGCAAGTAAGGATAAACAATTTTTTTTTGCCTAACGACGTATGCATCCATAGTCTAAAGCTGCGTGAAGAAATCCAAAATTCACATGGTGATTTGGACTACTGCCGTAAATGGTCAGCAACCAAAATCAGAATCAATTTGAATCTGTGTTACATTCAAACGCTGACAAACTACGGTGTAACTCTTGCCGACAATTCAAAGCCAGTACTTTACATCAATGTGGATGGATGACTTGGTACACTTTCTGACACTGCTTTTAAAGATGAAGTTTCGAACTGCTTCAAAGGTATTCTTAGTCAATCACCTATGACAAAGACTAGCAACAGCATCATTAACCTCGCGGATAGCTACGTTGTCTTTTGTAGAAAATGTCACTGTATAGATAATCTGTCTTGCTCAGCTGTTGCCCTAAGCCGCAGTCACGTCCTTATGGCAACAGCTGAGCAAGACAGATTATCTATACACTGAGATTACTGAAGAAGGAGAACAATAATAGGGGAATCTGCAGTGTTTGTGCCACATTCATTTGTTTGAAAACCGAATAAACCAAAACTGTGCTGATTTGACTACAGGTCAAATGTGCACTTTAAGAAACGGAAACACACAAAAACCTTTGAGAGTGTTTAACGCATCATCAAGACGGAAAGGGCAAATTTTACTAAGTGGTGTAATTGAAACAGGGGAATTTTTACGAACAGTTCCACGATTTCCCCTATGCTAGGCGTTTAACGTCCTGTACGTTGAAGTGGGATTCACATCGGCTACCAGATCCTCACCTATGTAATAAAATAATGATTTGTCCCAGATTGTATGATAAAATGGGGACTCGGCATTACTATTGATAAAGAATCCAACGCCGCTCCTAATTAGAAAATGTTACTATAGTCAAATCTTAATTCCTAGACCATTTCCTCCGAGGTAGGACAAGATTTCTTCATAAAAAAATTTATTATACAGAAGCGATACATGACAGGACGCACGAAATTGAAAGTCAATTATATAATAAGGAAGAGTAGAATAGAAGAGGTAATACATGAGGACTAAATATATCTATAAGATCAACAAGGGGAATAAAGCTTACTAAAAAAGTTGGCCGAGCAGGAGCAGAAGGCTCCTGCGCAACCTTACGTTATGAGATTAGAAATATAGAAGACGATAAAATGAGTGGCAGAAATGAAATGAACAATAAACAAAATGAGAAAAGAGAAAAAAAGGAGGGGAAAGGGGAGGACCAGCCATGCGAGGCATAGCTGATCCATGTGGTCTGGAGACCACCAGCCGCTCGGTCTTTCGTGCTGCCTCTCTCCTCCGTCTGGTTCGGGGCTTTGCTCTTTTTATAGTTGTTGGAGGGGGCGGTGTCGTGAGGTACAGACCAATAGCGCATTAGTATGATGATGACTAGCGCTTTTCCTACACCTAGATTCATTTGCTTTGTGAGTAAAAAATCCAATAAACAACACTAAAAACAAATTTTTCGTTCCAGATTCAAAAGGTTACCGTTTGGTACGCTCCAAGCTTTCTAATCATGACCTTCATGAGTTCCTTGTGAAAAGAATATAATACAATGTCAAAAAATGGCAAAGAACTTTTATGTTGACAGTATGATGCTTCAAGCAAACACTGATGAGGAATAGCAGAATGTAAAAAAGTTAAAGGTGATTGCCGAAATTGGACCCTATATCAGAGAATTCCTGATTGCCTTGGAGTGAACGGGGCTATACCCGGGTTACTGGGAAAAAATCGGAAATGACAATATCACTCTAAACCTAATTTCCATTTCTAGAATATGAAAAAGAGACAAGTAAGCCAGTTTAACTCAGTTCACGATCCCATAGGATTAGCAGCTGTTCTATCAGTCAAGCTCAAATCCCTTATGCGAAAGATTACCCTCAATATTGACTGGAAAGTTGTACCAGATGTGCTGTGCAAGTTATGCTGCATGCAGAGGTCAATAGAGCAGCGATTAGCTTACTTCGATGCCGGTATCACTCACTATCTAGTAATACGTCTCTTTGGATTGTTCCAGACGCTAGTAAAATGGCCGTCGCAAGCGTTTATTTTAGGTACGAATGGATCAATAAGGTCAATGGATTGGTTAGCAGTAAAACGCGACTAAGTCCACAAAGGACAATCGATCAACCTTGATTCGACAGTAGCATTTGTGCAAGCGTTATGCTAAATACGATTACAGAAAATGCCAAAGAAAACTAAGTATCATTAACAATAGGAAACTGCCCTATCCTGGCAATTGTTCTAAAAAGTCTTCATTTTCTTGTCCAGTTAGAGGATAGAATCAAAGGTTAAAACTAAATTGTTCAGCCTGAAATAAAAATCTAGGTACGATCATTCTAACTTCGATATAGCAGACGGAGGTATGGGCCTCTCCATGTTTCCTACTTACGACTAGCGCGGAATGGGTGCGTGCCATTACTTGTGACTGTCAGCAAAAACTCGCCGCCCGCGCGGTCAGAGCGGTCGCGCGATTACCATTTATGCAGCGCGCGGGTGCGAAGAACTCGCCCAGCATTGCAGACTTGCTTAGGGATCCAGGTTCAACCGAATGAGACCCCTAGGGAAGAAGTATCAGGCTATGCCATTACAATCCTTGAATGTTACACTGCTGGCTTTTTTGCTTTGAGGGCTTAAATCATGAGACCAAAATTTATCTTTGTTTCGTTGTAGGAACGTAGAGAGTTATGTCGCAATATTTCATTGCTATTTGAATTATGTAGAGGAAAGTAACTATGTAATCTATTTGCAACACCGTCGTCGCATTTTCCTCCTTTTCCTTTTATCACAACAATTTTT